ATGTTAGTTGGTACGAAAGAAATCTTCACCTGCTCCCTACCACGTGTAAATGCTGCGTAAAACGTTCTGTGTTCTTTTTGGCAAACTGATAACTTGATGCACTGCCATCATAATATTTTACGAGTTTGTTTGCTCCGTTTTTTTTCTCTTTGTAGCTGAGAGATGAAAACTGTTTAGCTTTGGGTAAAACGCAGCACCTGTCACTGTTACTTTTTACCCAGCTGTCCAATCAATGGAGGAGGGGCGGGACAAATACTACACCGACCAATCATCCTTCTTGTACAACAACTGATCAACAATAGAGAAGTTAATATTGCTGGTTACTGCATTTTTTCCGACACGCGCTGTACGCGGTAGACCAATCCAGAGCCAATCTCTCTACGGCTCTGGACCAATCACAAAGGACTGCGCCATCTGACCAATCACAGCAGTGAGGGCTCACGGAAAGGAGGGGTTTAGAGAGACTGATTCTTTGAACTGCTTCGCACGAGTCGTTTATGAATCATTTAGAAATTAGGTAAAATTAAATATATTTTTTGAGAAAACTAACGTGTTTGTTGACCTTGCATGCATGTAAACCTGTTTTAGGAGACTCAAAAAACAATATTAGCAACCTTAAAAATGGCATAATAGGGGCACTTTAACATTAGTTAACCATGTTAGTTGACATGAACAGATAATGGACAATACTTAGGCTATTTATTATCTATTTATCTTACTTAAATGTTAATATCAGCATTTATTAATTCCTTTTTTTTAATCAAAAATTGTATCATTAAGGAACATCAATGAACTCACATGAACAAAACATGAACAAATTCATTTTTATGAATGAGCATTAACAATAAAGTCTGTAAAAAATTGCTTATTGTTAGTTCATGCAAGCTAATGCATTAACTAATGTTAACAAATAAAACCTTATTGTAAAGTGTTACACAAAATATCACATGAAAGAGATAAAAAATAAAAATAAAAAACAAATACTCTGTAAATTTATAAGCCATACTGTTACAGAGAACTCAACTGAACAACAGAGACAACATTTACATTTACATTTAGTCATTTAGCAGATGCTTTTATCCAAAGCGAGGACAATAAAAGCAGTCAAAACTAACAAAAGAGCAACAATATAAGTGCAAATGACAAGTCTCGGTTAGCCTAACGCAGTACACGTAGCAAGGTGCATACTGACAAACCTAGCGACTTTTTTGGATAACCCTTAGCTATGGTTCAGTTGGAAGATCTCGCCAGTGCTGCCCCGCGAACGCGAGGTCTGACTTTCCCGGAGAAGTGTCACCTCTCTCTGCGTCTGTTCTGTGCAGTGAGCGGCAGAGAAGCAGCGCATTCAGTTGGCCGCACCGCAGCCGACTCAACCCGATCTCATGAAAGTGCGTATAAATAGTACGGGCATGTCCCATTCGTCCTCCACGACCTGTGGTGAGTGTGGTCTCTACCTCTTCAGTCAGTATAAAACCTCTAACCACTACAGTTCAGATTGCAACTCCTCTTCATTGTGTTTCAGTCTATGCCCTCCTCGACTCTGGGTCAGCCGGCAACTTCATTTCCTCCGACTTATGTAACCAACTCCAATTTAAGAAGAGACTCAGTGACATCTCGTACAAGATCCAATCGATAACCGGCAAGTCCCTTGTGAGAGGAAGAGTTCGATATTGTGTGGGTCCCATCTGGTTACAAGTCGGTCAGCTCCACAGGGAAAGGATCTGTTTATTGGTTCTGGAGGATTCCACCGCAGGGATAGTGTTGGGGCGCCCATGGCTCGTGTCCCATAATCCATCTATCTCATGGTCCACTGGAGAGATTCTGAAGTGGGGTAACGACTGTTTTCCCGAACTACCAAAACCAGTCCCGTCCGTTCCAGTGCTTCCAGTTAACTCCACATCCATTGAAAGTCCACCTTGAAAATCGCTCCATTAACATTCCCACCGACTACGCCCCCTTCAGTGATGTATTCTGCCCGACACGAGCCTCCCAATTACCACCTCACAGACCATGGGACTGTGCCATCGACCTTCTTCCTGATGAACCAGTGCCCAAAGGTAAAATCTACTCCCTTTCCATCCCTGAACAGAAGGCCATGGAGGAGTACATTTCTGAGGCTCTACAACAAGGATATATCCGATCGTCCACGTCCCCTGCTGCTTCCAGTTTTTTCTTCGTGGCTAAGAAGGACGGAGGCTTGAGGCCTTGTATTGATTACCGGTCCCTCAATAAGATCACTGTCAAGTACAGATATCCCCTTCCTCTCGTCCCATCCGCTCTGGAACAGCTTCGTGGGGCCAAGATCTTCACCAAGTTGAACCTCCGGAGTGCTTATAACCTCATCCGGATACGTGAGGGGGACGAGTGGAAGACAGCCTTCGTGACACCCACAGGACACTATGAATATCTGGTGATGCCGTATGGTCTTGTCAATGCCCCCTCCGTATTCCAGGGCTACATGAATGAGGTGTTCCGGGAGTACCTCCACCGCTTTGTGCTGGTTTACATCGACGACATCCTAGTGTACTCCCGGAACGAGGCCGAACATCGCCAGCACGTCTCGGAGGTCCTCCAACGGCTCCGTGAACATCAATTATATCTCAAAGCTGAGAAATGCACCTTCCATCAACCGTCCATCAAGTTCCTAGGTTATCACATCAGTGCTCATGGCATAAAGATGGACGAGAGGAAGGTGGAAGCAATCAAGACCTGGCCCCTCCCATCCACCATTAAAGAACTCCAACGATTCCTAGGTTTCTCCAACTTTTATCGTCGATTCATCCTGAACTACAGTTCTATCACGGCACCATTAACAAATCTCCTGAAAGGCAAGCCCAAGTCTCTGTCCTGGAACTCGGAAGCCACCACAGCCATGAAACAACTCCAAGAGGCGTTCACCACGGCTCCACTTCTGGTGCATCCCGATCCAAAAAGACCATTCGTGGTTGAAGTTGACGCCTCCACATCCGGAGTAGGAGCCGTCCTGTCACAGCAGCAGGGCAACCCACCTCGACTCCATCCATGTGCCTTCTTCTCCCGGAAATTAACCTCGGCGGAGCAAAACTATGACATCGGGAATAGAGAACTACTCGCCATCAAGCTCGCCCTGGAGGAATGGAGGCACTGGCTTGAAGGAGCTCATCATCCGTTTATAGTCTATACGGATCACCGGAATCTGGAATATCTTCGTGAGGCAAAGAGATTAAACCCCAGACAAGCCAGGTGGGCTTTGTTTTTCACCCGGTTTAATTTCACCATCTCCTATCGTCCCGGGACGAAAAATACCAAAGCAGATGCTCTTTCAAGACTTCATGCTCCAGACGAACAACCCGAGAATCCAGAGACTATCATCCCCACTGAGCTCATTGTTAGCCCGATCCAATGGACCCTAGACGACGACATCGCAGCAGCCAGTGTCTCCGATCCTGCTCTGCCGGGGTGTCCCCTGAGTCATATCTATGTTCCCCGTAGTCAACGAACACCACTCATTCATTCAGCGCACACCTCCCTGGGCACTGGTCATCCCGGGACCAATCAAACCCTCTCACTGTTGAAAGAT